CACAACAAAACCTACATTGCAAGTGCCATGTAGTTGATCTCCCTTCCTTCTCACACAGCTCACAGCGGGTCTAGCAAATTACTCCTAAGGGCCACGTTCAGGCTCCTCTTAGAGCTTCTTGTTGGATAAAGTTCAAGTCATCTTATTGATCAGTTGACAGTTCCAGAGTTTGTTGGCCAAACTGTCTCCCTCAGTTGTTTTTCCATGGACAACAGCCAGAAAGGACTTGAGTTACAGGACGAATTTCATAGCCCTGGAGAACATCTTTAGCCTCCTTTTGACGATCCTCATTCGTGAACCTCAGTCCGGGCCCTTAGGAGACAGGTAGTTTATTTCTCTTTGGGAAGAGCTTCTGAAATTAAACATTATGGCATTCCACTTTCATGGAAAACGAAAAGAAGTTACATGTGACTTTGTTATTTTATGTCTTAATCCTGAACTTAAAGCAGAACTGCGTCCTATGGACATCTTACCACTTATTTATCCCTTGCATTTCTGTCCTTTAAGACCGAGTTTTTTCTGGAGCATAGCTTGCAGTTTACTCTCTCTCTCGCACAGACGCTTCTCACTGTCTTCTCTAGCTGAAGCTTTTTGCTAACCCAGGTCCCATGAAGCAGTTTCTGTAGACTCCTTGAAAATGGGATTTTCACAAATCTAAGCTTAATGGGAAGAGCAGGGAACAGTTACCTGACATTTTCACTGAAAAATAAGCAGCAGTTTATTCAGCGGTGTCTGTTTGCTTGCATTATAATTTAGAAAATTACTGCCTTTTGCCTTCTGATATGGAGACATTACACTTTGATTAGTTAATCCCAAAATGTAGCTCCTGTAAAATTAGAAATACAGTTCCTAAACACTAATATCTCCATTTAGGCTGAAATGCAAGTTGCAAAGGCAGGGAAGCACACGTCATACACGATGTGATCTGTTACTGATGGTGCTACTTATTTCTCGGCTATGGACTATCCCATTTAGATCATTAGCACTAAAAACCTGAAGGAATTAAGTAGAGAATTTTTTCCCCCACAAGTTTTCACACAGGAGCTGCCCTTAATGAAACAAGCATGTTTCAGTCCTGTTCAATTTATTCATCAATGACCTGGATGAAGGCACAGAGTGCTCCCTCAGCAAGTTTGCTGATGATACCAAACTGGGAGGAGTAGCTGATACCCCAGAGGGCTGCGCTGCCATCCAGAGGGACCTGGACAGACTGGACAACTGGGTGGTGAAAAACCTCATGCAATTCAACAAGGCCAAGTGCAAGGTCCTGCACCTGGGGAGGAATAACCCCAGACACCAGTACAGGCTGGGGACCGACCTTCTGGAGAGCAGCTCTGCGGAGAAAGACCTGGGTGTCATGGTGGACGACAAGTTGACCATGAGGCAGCAGTGTGCCCTCGTGACCAAGAAGGCCAACGGGATCCTGGGATGCATTAAGAAGAGCGT